GGAGGAGTTTCAGAGACGGTTCTGTCATCACCAGACCAGGTCTCATTCCTAAATGCAGAAGTCCAGGAACTTCTGGTAAAAGAGGTAATTTCCAGAGTTACCGACGGAGAGGAAAACGCAGGTATTTACTCGCGTTACTTCCTGGTTCCAAAACGGACCGGAGGAACGAGACCCATTTTGGACCTGTCAGTTTTTCAATAAGGCGATCGTGGACAGACCGTTTCACATGTTGACAACCAGACAACTGTTGGACAACATCCAGAGAAACGATTGGTTTATATCCATCGATCTGAAAGACGCCTCCTTCCACATACCGATCATGCCAAAGCACAGAAAATTCTGTGTTTCTCCTTTCAAGGGATGCAGTATCAGTACAACAGGCTGCCGTTCGGTTATTCCCTCGCGCCTCGTACGTTCTCAGAGTGTGTTGAAACGGCCCTGCAACCATTACACAGAGCAGGGATGAGAGTTTTGTTTTACCTAGACGACCTGCGCCTGCTGTCACGCTCCAGACGGGAAGCAACGGCACAGACTCAGGTGCCGACGTCACACCTGCTAAATCTGGGCTGCGCCATAAATTGGAAAAAAGCTCGATTGTCCTGGCCCAGACGATTGTTTATCTGGGAGTGAAGCTAAACTCGACCACCATGAGGGCTCGTTTATCACAGACGAGAATCGACACTCAAGAGTCCAGCTTCGCCACAAGACCTGGCAGAGTAGTAACAGCTATTTCCATCATGAAGCTGTTAGGAACGATGTCATTAGCTCACACAGTGGTTCCGCTGGGCTTACTCCACATGCGACGCCTCCAGAGATAAGTTTGCTCGTCTGCGCATGGATCCGGTAAAGCAAAAGAGACGGATGATCACTGTTCCTCCCTCCGTAAGAACAGACCTCTGACACTGGGTATGTTTACATGGACATAAGTAACCGGATCAAATGGCCGGTCGGAATAAAAGTGTGTCATGTAAACACTCCGTTTGGGTTATTTTTTGTGTATTCGGCGCGATCCGTTATAATTTGTGATCAGAACAAAACGGGTGGTTTACGCCGATCCGAAACCCGATCGGTGCGCATGTAAACGCTTGATCTGTTCGTTTTTATCTGATGGTGAAAAACTGACCTGACTGCTCATGTGCGACTTTGCCATTTCCGCCTGGCTAACGCTAATAATATTAGCATGTCAGGGAAGTAAAACTGGTCGACGAGCGACACAACATTTCTACTAGAAACTTTGAAAGAGCTCAAAATGATCTGTATCACCTGTAGCTCAGTCAGGGAGTGCAGTAACGTCTCCACCATCATTAAAACCTGTCGCGGGTCCATTTTGGGGGCTCAGGTTTGTTTACGTTCACCCGGAAGTAGAACTTCTTCTTCGGTGTTTTTTTTAAGGAGAGTTTACCACTCTGCGCATGTCAGTACTGCTGTTCAGAACAAAGCTGCAGGTAAAAGCTCATCATGAACAGATTGTGCCCATGTAAACAATACATTTGAATTATTCAAACAGAACACACTTCAATCCGGTCAAAGAATTCTGCGCATGTAAACATAGCTACTGGGAAACTCCCTGGTTCTGTCGGAGGGAGTCCCCGTCAGCAGACCTACGTCACACGTGTCATTCTTCACAGATGCATCACTGTCAGGTTGGGGGGGACATGCCTATCTTGAGCTGTAGAGGCGCTGTGGCCACTCACACAACAGCTCATATAAACGTTATGGAATGTTGCACATTTCTGAATGTCCAAAAAAGTTCAATCTGGTCCTCTGGACATTCAAAAAAAAAACAAAAAAAAAACATAGAAACGTTTCGTCTCTCATCCAAGAGACTTCCTCAGTCTGAGGTGCTGTATTCAGCTCAGTCTCTTAAATAGCACCTTCTCAGGGTGGATCAACCAGTTTTACTGCTGACAACCAAAACCAGCTGATCACATGCTCAAGAAGGACCATCAGCCTAACAATAGGTCATTAGCACCTGATGGCTGTTTACTACTCACAGAGGGCTGAGTGATACTAGCAATCACAGCATTGTAAGAGGGGGACAGTTGAACCTGGAGGCTCCGCCCCTGTTTAATGATGGATGGTTTCTTTTCACAAAGATGGCCTCCTTTACTCCTCTCTCAAACCATCGTTCCTCTCTATCCAGGATGTGAACATCTTTATCCCCGGTGACCCACGTTCGGGCAAGGGAACATTAGGTCCGTTTATTTTTCTCATCAAAGTTGTTTTTGGGCTGCACTTTGTCTGGTCCCTCACCTTTAAGGTATCCATCCATCCATTATCTTTACCCGCTTATTCCATTTTGGGTCACGGGGGTCGCTGGTGCCCATGTCCAGCAATCACTGTGCGAGGGGCGGGGTACACCCTGCAAGTCCATCACAGGGCCACATAGAGACACACGAGACAAAAACAACCATTCACTCTCTCACTCACACCTAGGGACAATTTAGAGTTACCAATCAGTCTAACATGCATGTTTTTGGTCTGTGGGAGGAAACTGGAGTACCTGGAGAAAACTCACGCATGCACGGAGAGAACATGCAAACTCCACCCAAAAGGCCCCTGGACCGGGGTTGAACCAAGGACCTGCTCGCTGAGAGGCAGCAGCTCTACCAGTTGCACCACCGTGCTGCCACCTTTAAGATAAATACTGTTTATTATTATTAAACTTATTATTTAGCACATTTAGATGTTATAGTGCAGCGCGATGTGTGCACGTGCCTCGTTCTATAAACTGACATCAGAACTGGATCAGACTGCGTCTCTTCCAACACAGATGTTGGTCACAGCAGCTGGAATCTGACGTAAATTAACTACAAGATTAAAAATATATTCCAGTCGTAGTTCAGAAAGCAGTGTATCCGCCGCCATGCTGATAGAAATATAGCGTCTGTCCACGCGTGCATGTGCGCATGTGGTTTAACACAAAGCCTCAGCAGGAGATGTTACATTATCAGCGGGGGGTCAGAGAAAAACCTCCACTCTGGAAGGTGGGTTCAGAAACCTCCGGATTCAAAGAGGGGGGGCACTGGTGTCGTGTAAATGATCAGCAGAACCGCAGAGAGAAAGGAGCAGATTCACTCAGAATACACGCCGTGTAAACGGCCCCTTAGTTTACCTCAAGCCCCAGTACTTCCCTGCAGGACAGCAACAGCCAGGACTGAGAACTGTATGGAGGTTCACAGGAGGCAATGGAGACCCTGCAGGGTCGCTTTGAGGCAAGTGACTGGGAGGTTTTCAGTGATGCACATGGGCAGGACATTCACACACTCACAGACTGTGTTATGGATTATATTAACTTCTGCACGCATAATCCCCACAAAAACAGTTTACAGTAGTTCCTCGCTACTTTGCGTTTTGATGTGTATGTGCGTATGTAAATATATATATACAATAATAATAATAAATATATTGGTGTAATATGTATTGGTGTTCATCGATGTGATTAATAATCAGTTAAATGTGAATGTTAGTGCTCTTTATTCAGAAAATCCACACGTCACATCTACATTTCAGGATCTGGTTATTATAGACAGATTAAATGTAAAATATGAATATCTCTATATCACCACAGTAATAGTGTTACACACATTAGTAGTTGCAAACACTCAAAAGAATACATATGTGCATGAAAAGATTAAACATTTTAAATAAAGTTACAAATGTGGTCTTTGGTGCCTGTTTGTTTTCCAAATAAGTGTGAGTGACAGGGATTAACTTCAAACACTTTGTAGAACGGAGCTTTATGAACTTCACTCCATCTCCTTGTATTAGTTCACTGGCAGATCTGCCACATTGATTCAATATGGTGGATGCTCCGATGTACTGCTGCAGCAGGCCAGCCCGCTCAACCAGGCGTCTACATATGTCTCTGGCATCCTCTCATAACGACTACATCTCCCAGAAGCCAACAGGGCCCCGCCCAGAAGCTCCACTGCCTTCTGCTGAAATACTTGAGGGAAAGTATCTGATCGGAAAAAGTTTGTCCTTATTCATACAGTAACTTCAGCGCCCAGCAGATGCAGAGAGCCGCACAGAACCCACGAGGAACCGAAGCAGAACCGGACCATCAGACTCACTGTTGAACCTGAGAGCTGCTAGCCGGTCCATGAGGACTTCTGAGTGGGGAGGCGCTGCTGTAGGTCCGGCGTTCTCTCTGGAGCCCAATGGGACTTTTTTCATCCAGATTTGGACTCAAGTGGACCACCATCTGGTCCCATGCTGGCCATCCGAAGGTCCGGCTCATTCCAAAATGTTCCGTTCTGAGAGTGGAGCTGCAGTCTCTGACAGAGGTGTCTGAGCAGAGGATGCTGAGGAACCTGCTCCAGATCCTGAACAACACGTCACCCCCCCTGCATGACACCCTGGACTCAGCACCTTCAGTCGTAGACCGAGACCACCGAGGTGCTCCACAGAACACGACAGGAAGTCCTTCCAACTGTTCAACTTCCTCCCCCTTCTTCACAGAGCACAATAAAATTAATCCTGCACCACAATAATCTCTTTAATGTTTCTGTCTGCACCTGACCTGTTTTAGATCTTAATTGTTGGCATATTTATTTTCTCTGTTATTATTATTTTTAATATTTTTTAATAGATATCGTGTGATTCCTTGTGTATGTTCCTTTGCACTGAAACTCTGGCACAACAGTTTCCTGCGGGATCAATAAAGTTCTATGTTAATGAGTGGTTCTGCCAGCAGATGGAAGCAGCGTGCACCCAGACAGTTTGATGAGGCGACTGGACCCTCAGCAGGAAGCAGAACAAATCTCCATCCTTTGTTCTGTCTGCACTGACTGAGAACCAAACCATCACAGTCTCGTTTCACCCTTCATCAGAATCACAGATGAGGTTAACGTTGACCTCTTTAGTCAAATGAAGGAGTTTTCAAATGTTTTATTTCCTTCACTTTATTTTACCCCTGACTTTTATATGTAGGTTGTTGTAGAGTAAGTGGATTCTTATCGTCTGAGCTGTTCTTCAAAACTAAAGCTGCTGCTTACCCTGGGCAGCTCCTGGTACCATCTGAACACGTCCACTCCGATCAGCTGGAACATGCGAGCCAGAGGCGGTAGGATCTGCTTGGTGATGTAGTAGGTGGCGTTGAGGCGCAAGCTGGGGTCTTGCAGTACCTCCATGGGCCGACGGACCAGGTGGATAAGGGGCACACCGGGCATCCCATACACGATGACGTAGGGCACCCGCTCGCCAACCCGCGGCTCCAGGCGCCGGTCGTACGCCATCATACGCCTGAGAACAGGAGGAACACAAAGAGAGTCTGATGAGCAGCAGAAACTCTTCTGGTCCCATGACTGCTGATTGTTTCCTTTAAAATGTGTCTACCTGCCCATTAAGTGCTTGGTTACCTAGCAACAGCCTCAGGTACTGTCCATGAGACTGAAACAGACGATGAGTGCTGTGAGGAAGGAGTAACTGGATCCACAACGAGTTCTACAACTGTAGATACTCCTGAACTAACACCCACCTGTTGTCTATAGTTACATTCGGGCCCAAAAAATCCGACCCAAACAGCCCCAGCCCGTAGCCATCCTTTCTGAACCCCACCCGACCCAACGAATCAACAGTAATTACAGGTCCGAACCCGAAAAAACCTGACATTTTTAATTAAACTTTGACTGCTTGTATAGTTATTAATAGGGCTTTAACAGACTACTCGAGTAATCTACACATGGATTCCTAGGACACCTATCGAGATTTTTTATTTCACGTTGAGTATTCATGGTGACGTCATTATGTCACGTGATCCGCACCGGGCGCGGGTTACAAAATGGATTCCTCCAAGCAGACAGATGGAGCAGAGCAGGCCCAGTCTTGACAAACAGGTAGAAACGCATCAACTGTCTGGAAATATTTCACTAAAGATGAATCTTCTGGTTCAACTATCGTAAGGAAACAGAAAATGAATGAACTTCCTGACTGGAGCTCGTTACGAACTGGTGTTACACCATATTTTGTGACCACCGTATATTGTGACCGTAGGGGGCGGTGTTGCATGCACTGTTGCAGGTCAAAGAATATGGTGTAACACCGGGTCCAATGACTGAACCAGAACCAGCTTCCTCTGACCTCGTTTCACAAACAAAAAGCAAAAAATATTAATCTCTAAACCCATCCATCCATTATCTTTACCCGTTTGTTCCATTTTGGGTCACGGGGGTCGCTGGTGCCCATGTCCAGCAATCACTGTGCGAGGGGCGGGGTACACCCTGGACGGGTCTCCAGTCCATCACAGGGACACATAGAGACAAACGAGACAAACAACCATTCACTCTCTCACTCACACCTAGGGACAATTTAGAGTTACCAATCAGTCTAACATGCATGTTTTTGGTCTGTGGGAGGAAACTGGAGAAAACCCACGCATGCACGGAGAGAACATGCAAACTCCACCCAGAAAGGCCCCTGGACCGGGGTTTGAACCAGGGACCTGCTCGCTGAGAGGCAGCAGCTCTACCAGTTGCGCCACCGTGCTGACCATTCTCTAAACCTATTTCAAAAATCTTTAAACATATTAATCTCTAAAACTAAACCTTATGCGCACCACAACTGGCGGTGGTGCAGGGTGGTCGACCCCCCCACTGTTTTTAGTTTCGTTTTTGACGTGCTGCATGTTCTTTCACGTTTTGCAGCTTAATAATAAAAACTAATAGTTCAGTTTTTCCTGTGACTTATTTGCAGTTTGATAAATGGTAGGAGCATAATATACACTCCTGATATTTTGATGGTCTTTTTTTTTTGTAAATAATGACCTTTTTTGCGGTTTTATTTATTTATTTATTTTTGTATCTTTAGATCCTATGAAGTCATCAAGTACTCGAGTTCTACTCGAGTTTTATTATGTTAATGTTGAGTTTAAAAATGATGTAGTTGTTCAACTCCTAGTTATTAATGATCGGCGGACGCGCAGCTGAATAAAAGGGGCAGAAGATTGGAGCGAGGGGGTGTTTGTTTTCATGGCCATCAAAGTGCATTAAATCCCTGTTTCTGCCTGCATTCTGCATTATTCAGACCCGGACCCTGCTCTGACACGTCTGCTTTGGGATCTCACCTGTTTGGGTCATTGACCACGCACGTCCGCTGAGTGCAGCGGCTGAATGAACGTCCATTTGGGCGATGGATTACTTCCTGGCAGTGTAGTCCCATCTGAAGCTTAACTGAACTTTATCTCTTTCAAGGCCGGTCAGCTCGCTGTGAAATGGCCGTGTGTGGCTGGTGAATGTATGGAAAACCATGTTGACATATAATTTGAATTATATGGCAAGCCATGTTGCCATATATTTGGATAACGGCTGATCCGCTGACTCAATCAAAAGCCCGACACCGACCTGGCCTGCCCAGCCAGTACATTAATATGGCCCGGCCCAAATTCGGGTCAGGCCTGGCTTCGGGCCCGGATTAGAAATGACAGCTCTAGTCTGTATTTAATGATGTCATGAATGAAACTCAGAAAACAGTCAGAGAACGTACATCTACAGCTGATTTACTTCTGGAGAGTCAATTTGATTCAAGATGGCTGTCACAACTATTCAAGCTCTGCAAACAAAAATTGCTCTGAGTCTATTTTTCAAATACTGATTTACCGCACTTTCTGGTCTATAAGTCGCAACTTTTTTCACATTCTTTGAAACCCGCAGCTTATACAATGCTGCAGCTAATTTATGGATTTTTTTTTTGTTTGGACAGACTAACGAGCTTCATGCCCCCAAAGCATTTACGACTGCCTCACTGAAGGTTCTTAATGACATTGATGAAGCACTGGATGCTAAGGATTATTGTGCTGCACTTTTCTTAGACCTGTCAAGATTCTGACTCTGTGGATCAGAACATCTTGTGTCATAAGCTCTCAGAAATTGGTTTCTCAGAACACACCATTGGTTGGTTCTCAGACCGGAGGCAATGTGTTCAACATAATGGTACTTCCTCCAGTTATTTAACAGTCAACAATGGTGTTGATGATGTCAATGATGATCCTTTCTGGAGGCCTGGGCAGGGGTGCTGCTCCAGACTCCATTATTCACACATAAATATACATATATACATATATATATATATACAT